CACTTTCTCACACCATTCACAAAAATAAACTCAAAATGGATAAAGGACCTGAATGTGAGACAGGAAACCATCAAAACCCTAGAGGAGAAAGCAGGAAATACCTCTCTGACCTCAGCCGTAGCAATTTCTTACTTGACACATCCCCAAAGGCAAGGGAATTAAAAGCAAAAATGAACTACTGGGACGTTATGAAGATAAAAAGCTTCTGCACAGCAAAGGAAACAACCAACAAAACTAAAAGGCAACCAACGGAATGGGAAAAGATATTTGCAAATGACATATCAGACAAAGGGCTAGTATCCAAAATCTATAAAGAGCTCACCAAACTCCACACCTGAAAAACAAATAACCCAGTGAAGAAATGGGCAGAAAACATGAATAGACACTTCTCTAAAGAAGACATCCGGATGGCCAACAGGCACATGAAAAGATGCTCAACGTCGCTCCTCATCAGGGAAATACAAATCAAAACCACACTCAGATATCATAGTGGCCAAAATGAACAAATCAGGAGACTATAGATGCTGGCGAGGATGTGGAGAAACGGGAACCCTCTTGCACTATTGGTGGGAATGCAAATTGGTGCAACCACTCTGGAAAACAGTGTGGAGATTCCTCAGAAAATTAAAAATAGACCTACCCTATGACCCAGCAATAGCACTGCTAGGAATTTACCCAAGGGATACAGGAGTGCTGATGCATAGGGGCACTTGTACCCCAATGTTTATAGCAGCACTCTCAACAATAGCCAAATTATGGAAAGAGCCTAAATGTCCATCAGCTGATGAATGGATAAAGAAATTGTGGTTTATATACACAATGGAGTACTACGTGGCAATGAGAAAGAATGAAATCTGGCCCTTTGTAGCAACGTGGATGGAACTGGAGAGTGTGATGCTAAGTGAAATAAGCCATACAGAGAAAGACAGATACCATATGTTTTCACTCTTATGTGGATCCTGAGAAATTTAACAGAAACCCATGGGGGAGGGGAAGGAAAAAAAAAAAAAGAGGTTAGAGTGGGAGAGAGCCAAAGCATAAGAGACTCTTAAAAACTGAGAACAAACTGAGGGTTGATGGGGGGTGGGAGGGAGGAGAGGGTGGGTGATGGGTATTGAGGAGGGCACCTTTTGGGATGAACACTGGGTGTTGTATGGAAACCAATTTGACAGTAAACTTCATATACTGAAATAAATAAATAATAAATAAATAAATTTCTAATAATGTAGGTGAATTTGAGAGTTTTGTTTGTAATTAGTCCTGAGGAGAAAATATAGGTTCAGGGAACATTTGTAGCCACTTCTAAATAGCTATAGAGTTTTCCTTAAGGATTACCTTTCTTTTTTAGTCTTAATCTAGAAAAATTAAAAACTTTTTTTCCTGAGAAAATTCAGTGTTCTTTTGCTTTTGTTGATTATATAAATAAATGTTAAAGGAAGTAGGGCCACTGTTTGGGGCCAGATTGTGCAGGACACTGGGTGTCCTTCAGGTAACACCTATTGGCTAGACCCCAGGGCTCCAGGGAATGTATCTGTGTTTTTACCCTTGTGTGATTCAGTGTTTTCCATGTATTGGAATGACAGCTGGTATAGATTTTGAAGCTGAAGGGAAAATAACTGAATTCTAGTTCAAGGTTCTGAGGGGAGGATGGCAGAACTCTTAAAAACAATCTGCCAGAGGTCTTTCTCTGGGCTTATTTCCTCCATAACTGTGGAAGGGTCCCAGAAGGCAACCTGCAAGATAACTGAATTCCTGGAGGTTCCTGGGAAGGAATCTTCCCGGTTTTTATGGATTCTTGCTTCTGTTGGCCAAATTGCTTTTTTCACTTGTGCAATAGGTATGATTAACCTTTGGGGTTTGTGTTTTCTGTGATTACAACATGAGGAAATACATTCCTTTTGTATAATATTTTAGTGGAATGTGAATTTTAGGGATTGTGTAGCATTCTAAAAGCATACATCTCCTGATACATGTTATACAGGAGATGTATGGTCTTTATTTTGCTAATTAGGTAGCTGACCTTTTTACCATCTCACATAATTTAACAGTTAAAGGGTGATTAAGCTGTTAAAAAAAAAAAGTGCTTGCTGACATCATCTTTCCGAGAACACTAGTATAAGTGATTTACTATAACAAGATCTTAGTTTTTCCTGTTGGCAAATGACATGTAATATTTACAGAGGTCTTGGGTTCAGTCCAGGAGAAACAGTTCAGATAAATTGATGTGTGAAACTGTAGCTATTTAACATTTTCTTTCGTATGGAGATCATGTGAACAGTTTTTTTAGTTTAAAAGTGGGGAGAAAAAGGACATTTAGTATAGATTTCCTTCAGGGGAGCAGCTTAAATTGAATGTATTCTCCAGAGTTAAACATCAAACATCTGTTCAGTTTACAATTCAGTTATATTCTTCTAACAGTTGTATGTTTAGGATACTAAGCCAGTGTTAATTCTGTTGTATGTACATGCCTTCTGTCCCTGAGAAACCTTCTCCTCCGTTTCCATCAAAATGCTACAAGGTTGGGGTGCCTGGGTGACTCTGTCCATGAAGCGTCCAACGTTTAATGTTAAGCGTCCGACTTCATTGGCTCAGGTCATGATCTCACTGTTGGTGATTTCAAGCCCCGCTTTGGGCTCTCTGCTGTCAGCACAGAGCCCGCTTAGGATCTTTGTCTCCCTCTCTCTCTGCCCCATTCTGCCTCCTCTCAAAAATAAATAAACATTAAAGAAATGATACAAGGTAAAGTTTTGTAGTCCACATTTTTAAATCAGCATAATTTCTAAATCTGTGAGATTTTTACTCCCCCCCCCCACCAAAGCATGATTTTTAAGGGCTCCATTAAAGTAGTGCATCTTTCATATATACTGTAATTTACCTGTTATTAGGCATTTTGGAAATTTGTTATTTCCCCTTTTGTGTGTGTGTGTTACTGTTAGACTGTGCTTATCTCTGGGTATATCCATTGGTTTCATTCACAGAAACGGAAACCTTGGATTTGTAAGAGTTTATGCCTGTAAACCAGACATCTGAAAGTTCTCTTATAGTCTCATCTAGTGCTAACTAAGGGGCTAGCCATGGCCTGGACAGCACTTCAAAAAGGTTTTGGAAAAATAAACTTTACAAAAATTTTTAATTAAAAAAGAAATTATCTCTTCAATTTAATTTTTATATTTTGATTAATAGTGAGATTAAATTTTTTTTTCATATTTATTAGTCTCTTGTGTATTGTCCTTGTTCATCTTTTAAAATGGGGTCTCTGTCATTTTCTTATTGATTTGTAAGTACTCTTCGTATCTTAATCCTTCTTTGGTTGTATATGTTGTAAATACATTTTCTTAATTTTGAGGCCTGCTTTTTCTTTTTTTAATTGAAGTATAGTGGACATACGATATTATACTAGCTTCAGGTGTACAATATAGTGATTCAGCATTTATATGTTTATATATAAATTTTATATGCATTATAAAATGCTCACCACAATCAGTGTAATTACCATTTGTCACCAGAGAAAGTTTTTACAATATTATTGGCTGTATTCCCTATGCTGTACCTTTCATCCCTGTGACATTTACTTTATAACTGGAAGTTTGTAACTCTTAATCCCCGTCATCTGTTTCACTCATCTTCCCACCCTCCTTTCTCTGACAACCACCAGTTTGTTCTCAATATTTATTCATTTTATTTATTTTATTATTTTGAATTTTTGAATTTTGAATTTTTGAATTTTTTGAATTTTTTTTTTTTTTTTTTTTTTTTTTTTTTTTTTTT